CTCTGTTATATATGAAACGTATGGAGCTATTATATTTTGTTATAATAACCACATCTACTCAAAGACGGTATAAGAAATTGCGTGAACGTAAGCAATAGAAAACTCGGATAGCCCTTTCAAATAACAAACTATTGAAAATCTATATAATTTCGATTAAATTCTTTACGTGGTGTCACTCAAGTCTTGAAACTGTGCGTGCTGTGTCAATTCATCGAGTCGAGTCTTTTTTGTATATTGGTTATACTGTAAGTATTGTAGTTGTACGAATAGGGATTGCGATGTTAAAATTGTATTTGTCAAGTGAATAAGTATATTCTGTGTTGGTCCAGAGAGTTTTTTGAAATTTTGTATTAGGTACGGAATAAAATGCAACAAAGTATTTAAAATAGTAAAGAAGTCTTTTGCGAATCATACTATGTTTCAACCACAAGTTTTCAAATGAAGTACTCGAAAAAACATTGTAGACGACTTTAGGTCTAGGTGTCCTAACACATCTATCAATTATAAAAATATGAACAAATTTAATAGATTTTTAGTACTAATAGAAATATTATCATTAGCGTGGTTACTAAAGAGAGAAAGTGTTCCACAGATTCTACCAAGAGATTTATAGGCATAATTTATTATAAAAGGAGTAGCAGCAAAACTAGTTCCAAATCTGCAGAATATCTAACAGTTGGTTACGAAATTTTGTAATTCTATAATGGAGAAAAATGCACTAAACAACATAAACAGCGAGATAAGAAGAAAGCAGTCTGGTTGGATTGGACATTCACTGTGTAATCTTATGAAGATATCGCTCATGCTCCACTTACTTGGAATACCCAGGGGACTAGGCGCAGAGGCAGACGAGCAATGACTCCTTAAGCCCTAATGGAATATGTAACAATAATAAAAATAATACTGCAATGAACCTAAAATGATTTTATATGCATGTCACTCTGCGTTTTTTTATTTGTGTTTACTAAACCCAAAAAACTACTCGAAACATTTTTTTTTTAAAAAATAAATTTAGTAAAGGTAAATCGTAAAGAAAACTTAATATCTTACCTAAAACGGAGTTTCAATAGGATTTTTCAAATTTAAGATAATATAAATACATAATATCAAAAAGGAGAACTACTTTAAAGACATATAAATCAATTAAAAAATTTGAAAAATATTGAAAATTATTAATGTTTCATCACTTTTCAATTAATTTTGTGATGTATTAGATATTCGACCTATAAGAATCTGACCAATATAATTAAGATACAATTATTCGAATTCTTTGCTGCCTGTAGTCATTAATTCTACTCTAAACATTTAAATCAACATTAATTTTTCTATTAATACCATATTAGTATTCAAGGAGTTTCGCACTGTTTATCTATTCTTACATTGTGACCGAAAAGCTTTCGGAAATTCTCATTTAAAATTCGCGCGCTGTATATTTTCCGATATTTTAAGTTTATGTAGTTTGGCAGCACTGTCCTTAATTACTATGCCAAAAATGAGCGCGATCTGTCAGACAGTTCGTTTACGGCAGCTGTTGAAACCAGTTCACCTCAGTAGGGCGTTGCGAAAAAAACAATGGAAAAAAATATTGAACAAAGAGTTTGCATCAAATTTTGTGTTTCGAACGAAATTTCGTGTGCAGAATCGTTGCGAATGCTACAAAAGGCTTATGGGGAATCAGTTTTATCGAAAACTCAAGTTTATGAGTGGTACAAAGCCTTCCAGGACGGTCGTACGACCGTCGAAGACATTTCGCAACGCACTACTGAGGTGAACTGGTTTCAACAGCTGCCGTAAACGAACTGTCTGACAGATCGAGCTCATTTTTGGCATAGTAATTAAGGACAGTGCTGCCAAACTACATAAACTTAAAATATCGAAAAATATACAGCGCGCGAATTTTAAATGAGAATTTCCGAAAACTTTTCAGTCTTAATGTATGTTTG